GTTTGAAATTTTGTTGACTATGTGATGCCATGAAATTGTCTAACCACGGCACAAGTCTCCACTTGTGATGAGGAAGAGACGTCATGACACTTGGATTAGTATTCATTTAGTGAGTTCTCTATTATCATATCATTGTGTTATGAAAATCCTCTCCGTCACATTTCGCGTTTCCGCCTAGGCGGGGTGTGACACATAGCCCCTCCGCCCACCCTACGATCGTCGTCGCCTCGTCGCCGCTGCCTCTCGTCGCCACCTCACGTCGCCGTCTCCGGTCGCCTTCACAACATCCTTACTGCTGCGTCCTCTCCTGTCTAGGGTTTGCATCCAGTCGCCGCCTCACGTCGCCGTCTCCGGTCGCCTTCCACATCCTCCTTACTGCTGCGTCCTCTCCTGTCTAGGGTTTGGTTTAGGGAATTTAGCATTTTTCTTTGGAAATTGATGGTATTTATTGCTAATTTCATGTTTGTAACAATGTTAATGATGATTGGTTTACCGACATTTTGCAATTTCTTGAGGATTTGATACTGATATGAAGAACAACATCTTTTCTATATATCCGTTTAGAATTGATTGTATTTCTTGAGGGTTAAAATGGTAATTTGTTGTCATTCAAAGAACAATTACCAAACAACATTGTTTCATTCAGCACTTAACCATTCTGATCCTCTTAGCCATTCTAACCTCTTAACTATTCTGAACTAAATCATTCAGCAACTGCCAAACAGCCCCTTATATTATTATACAAAAGCACTTATTGAATTATTATAAGTCAGAAAAGTTTAACTTTTTCAAAAACTCCTGATTACTGGTTTGGCATCGGTATAAATTATTTATCCAAACACTCAAAAGTATTTATTATCGGTGTCACACTAGAATAATTCAATAAGTTGTTTCTATAAGCAATCCCAAACAGGCCTTGTTTGTTTTTTTATAAAAAAACTCTTATTAGTCTCTTGTATCTGATTCGGTAAGAGATAAGGTCATTCATACCATTTATTTTTTTAAATTTTTCAAAAACACTTATGTCTTATTATTCTCTTATCTGCGTAGGTACAACTTATTAAAGCTCCATAACTGAATTCGTGTAACTAACTGCAGATAAACACAATCAAATACAAGATAAACATCTCATTTTAAATATAAAAAATCTAAAATATAATTAGGATAATCATTGAGTTTTAACAGAATACTTAATTATTATATTTATAAAATGTTATATTATTAAACCAAAAATAAATTATTTCATTATTAAACTTAAATTAAATTATATAAAAAATAATCTATATCTATATCTATACTACCTTATAAAGCATTTGGCTAAAACTATTAAAAACTCTTAAAACTCTTAAACTTGTTCATCCCTTAACGATTTCATCCCTATCCGATTTCATCCCATATATGAATTCGTGTAACTAACTGCAGATAAACACAATCAAATACAGGATAAACATCTCATTTTAAATATAAAAAATCTAATCTATACTATCTTATAAAGCATTTGGCTAAAACTCTTAAAAATTCTTAAACCCGTTCATCCMTAAACGATTTCATCTCTATCCGATTTTATCCCATATCTGAATTCGTGTAACTAACTGCAGATAAACACAACCAAATACAGAATAAACATCTCATTTTAAATATAAAAAAATC